GGGGGGGGGGGGGGTACATTTTTTTCCTGCTAAAGGAGGGCGGGGCACAATTTTTTTTTACATTAAGTGGGGGGGATCTTGAAATTTTGGAGTATTTTTGAAATTTCCTCTGTCCCCCCTGCGGTATACATAATGAACGCAGCCTAACTGTCCTGTCAAAAAACCATTAACGCCAATATGTATTTCATTGGTTAAGGACGTCACGTTAATGCCACGAATAACGTTGCAGGTCGTTGCGACGCGATTAAACTTGCGCGCAACTTTACAGAAGTAAAAAGCTCGATTCCACTTCGCGCGCAGCCGTTGACAGAGCAATCTCGTTCCCAGAACCTGCGTTCCTCGTTATAGGTAGGCGGAAGCTTGGCTTCTGTACTGAAAAGAAAGCCTTTATGGTGAAAAATGGCAGACGGGAATTGAAGGAGGAGTGTGATACTGACCTTCAGCTGTTGATACAATACCAAGAGGACTTGCAACCATAGCAACGTAGGTGATTCCACACGCCCAAGTCAGGGATGACACTAACCCAACAAGAGAAAATAAAACAATGGCAATCCAGGGGACTCGAGCGAAGGAGAACCCAACAAAGACAACTGCATACACACAGAGCCCTAACGTCAGCGTGTTCATATACCCAAGTCTATTGATTATATGGTTTGAGAACATATATGTAAAGGCGTTGACGACAAAATGAAGAGACGTTGCCACGCCAATCAAGGCTGGACTAGTACCCAGGTCGTCAAGGAACCAGGGACCAAAATCCATTTGAAATCCATCGATAATGCCCAAGCCAATGACTGTTATCCAGAATGCAATATTTTTAACCCCAGAAAAAAATTCTTTAAACTTCGAAATATCCGATCCCATTTTCCTGATATCCACAGAATACAAATGTTTGGTGTTCAAAAAGGCAAGTAGGGCGAGAAAACTAAAGCCGAATAAAAAATAAAAGAGTATTCGGTAGTCTTTGAGTTCAATATCACAATAGATATAGACGTTTTGCTCGATGACTGCTCCTATTGTTATCGATGCTGTGCAAATTCCCAAAGACCCCCAGAGGCGAAACATTCCGTAGTTATTCCTCTCTTCGCCAAGTAATTCCATAACAGCGCCATCAAGGAGGCTGAGCATGCACGATGCAACAAGCTCACAAAACAATATTATTAGAAGGAATAAAACAAAATCCCTATTTATGTCATTCTGGTTTCTTATTATTTTGCTTTTAGGTCTACTCTGTCTCGTGTGGTTGCTTCTGGTGATGGCGTCACGTCTGGTTCGTCTCGTGTGTTTGGAGTGTATTTCTTTATTTAGTTCTCGGTGATTTTCTTTAAGACGATTCTCTTCCTCGTCTACCATTTGTTCTTCTAAGTATGGATAGTCTTGTACTTTTGGTCTGTGTTTGACAATCCTCATCCTTTTTTCATTATGTACTGGCCTTGGTGTAGCATCAAGATGAATACCACTGAAACCTTCGTATCCGTCTCTGCTAGTTGTTCTTTTTAAATTGAAGTCATGTGACCAATTTAGCTGCAAGTTCCGTTTTAAATCGACAATTCTACGTGTTAGGTTTGTGTCATTTTCCGAGTGTAAATCGGAGCCATTGCCGTTCGTTGACAAGCAATTTTGAGTCGGTGTATGAGCCAAAAATATCCCCAAATGCTTAACCGTGAATGCCAACAACGCAATAACCACGATTAATTTCCTTTTCTTGAATTTATCGGCTAAAAAACCTCCAATTGGAGCTCCTATAACCTGGATGAATGGTCGAATGCCAGTCAGAACTCCAACCTGGGCAGCGTTGAGTCCAACGTACTTAAAATATAAGGGCAAGTACACAAGCGTCGATCCAAATGCAGCGTAGAAAAACAAGTACACCAGCTTATACGTGCATGCCTCCAAGGAAGAACTTTGGAGAACTGCCGACAATCTTTGGGAAACAGATCTAGGACGACTTCTCGTACTTGAATTTTCCAACATGTTGACGGTTGAGCTTACTACTGACTATACGACTGCCGATACGCCTGAAGTAAGATACACCCAAAATATCGAATAATACCCCGGCGCTAAGGCAAGATACCTTATAGCACCGATTATCCGTTCTTCACTGAGATGCTACTTATATATCTGCTCTAAGTGCTTTTAAATGTTACTACCTTCAAAATAAACGGGCTGTTTTTCGTAAGTCTTTAGTCTTCAGTGGCGGTTTGTTAACTTCTAAGCTTTGTTCCTCTTAATCTTCGTTGCTCTATGCAAATCAAAGCAAAATCATTCAGTCGAGGATGGCTGACACAGTCTAAAGATTATGAACAAACCGAATGATTGTTGTATCATGAATAGAAAGGTGTTCTTATGATTATCGGTACCTTTCACTAGAGGCTCATCATGTTTTAATCCCTGTAAAGCAAGAGCTCACCTTGGAACTATACTTTAATACCGCTTATCAAAGTGGGTTTCCAGGCACCCGGATTCGATCTTGTGCATGTATGAAATTTTTGATAAATTTGCTTGAGTGTTCTATATATATATTTTTTTCTAGAATTAAAACTAGTTTTTTATGATGTGTTTTAATGTGAAATATGGATTTAAAGACGTTCTTTGTGACTATTTCTTTTTTCCTCGATTGTTCTTTGCCTCTTCCTTCCTTTTTTCCCCTCATTTCACGCTGGGTACATTTGCATTTCTCAAGTATTATAGTTTATTCCATTTTTTCTCTTCTAATTTCTCTATATATACTACTTGATACGTCGGGAACTGAACACCCTACTAGAAGCTACCTTTGAAATCACGCATGCGCACTGATGGAGCAGACTTTTCCAATTCTTTTTATTCATTGATTTAAAATAACCAGGACCATACTTCCAGACATCGAGTGCTGAACCGTCTTATGGACTTACGGCTACGCTGGAGATTTCGACCCCGACACCGCTATCCCGGGAGGAATTACAGACTGATCAGGAAGCTCGGCAAAAGCCTAAGGGAGAGGTTAGTCGGACCCTAGACCGTAGATTTTTAACCCCTTGCTATGACCAGCAGACCCGGTATGTGGCTTGTATCGCTGATTGGTAAAACATCCATGGTCACTCTTTTCCATGTGGGATACGTTCGAGAAACTAGCTGTGAAACACAAACTTTAGGTAAAAATCAAGATGTCTAAGAGATTATGCCAATATTATTCCTGATCAATACTGTTTTTTATTTCTTTATTTTCATTTAGCTATAACTTGTTAAATATTTTGCATGTTTTGCAAACTCTTGCGCTTGCAAAGCATCGACCGGCATAACCACAATTCAGTGCGCGCTGCAAAACCAAGATGGCTGCATACACACAGGAAGAGCTTCAGGAAAACTCACAAAACATCGCTTAAACAAACCGAAAGTAAGTCTTTTCTCCACCTCAATACCGTACCGCTGTTATAATATGCCTCTGGCATTGGTTAATTATTGATTTATACATTATTTATGAACAGATATTGATGTACTTTAGAAAGTTAAACATTTTGATAAAGAGCCAACCTTCATTTTTTCTTATTTCTTAATTCAATACGGAAATACGGCAAGCAGAATGTTGTTTAAAAACGATAAACACCGTTGCTAGGTTAACGCAGCTGCGTTTGTATGCATTCTAAGGCAAATTTATTAAATACATCGTTTGTAGTCAAATATCGCCCACTAAATGACTATGCATGGTCCCTCAATTTTGACAAGATTAGCTTGGGGCTTATACAAGCTTGAAACTTTGCAATATAGAGTTCATATGCTTAATTCGCTAGAGCTTTTTGTGATTATTTAAGGGGCAGAAAAACTGTTATTTTGTATGTCCACGATTAGCTGTTTTATATAGCTTTTAAATTTAGATGGTTAGTTAACATCGTAGCAAGTTTTGAAGTGATTGCATACGTTTTATGTAAGCAGGCATGTAATGAAAATTATAAAATCACATATCAAAAGGTTGATGTTTGCAGCCATCAAATATTGGCTTAATTAGGTCAACATTATTTATAAAAGCAGAAGAAGGGCAGAGGGCTGGTGCAAAATTATGTATGCAAAGTTTTCTCTTTCCTGACCCCATCCCCCTTTTTGTATTGAACATTTTTTTTAGACCGTCCACCTCCCTCCACAGACAGATAGAGGACTACAAAATTATTTCACCTTTTTGGCGCTAGCCGTCATGTGGTATAAATTGTGTTTGATTGTGTTACAGTCACCAAGCAGTTCGGACATTGTTCTCAGATTTCTGTACAAATGTACTGACTTTAATTGAACTATTTACTTGGTTTGTTTAGTTAGTTCTCTAAATACATATAAAATATCATTTTTCTAACTTGATTGAAGCTTTTCTTACTGCTCTTAAAAGAGCTAACCAAAGAAAATCTATCTAAATTTTCTCTTTAAACTCAGTGAATTCATATGGGAATCCGAGAGCGATGTCCAAACTTTTTGGTGACCGTAACACAATCCAACAAAGTGTTTATGATGTGACTGCTATCGCCGAAAAGGTGAATTGAATAATCTTCTCATAAATATATATGCCCCCTTTTATTTCTTGTAAGAAGAATATTGACCTACATGTACCCACTATTTGCACAATCTCCCCCCCCGCCCACTTTCTAAATAATAAAAATAAAAATAATATTTATTATAGCCAGTCCCTTAGTTTGTGTGCAAGAATATATTTGTTTTACATATTACTGACACCAGCCATCTTAATGATCTCTGTTTCAGGGGTTACTGCCAATAGCTGTCACCTGAATATAAAATGAATTATAGCCCATTATAAAGATCTTACACCTACCATGGCCCTTACAGAAGAGAGTACCTTCTACATCCTAGCGCTATGTGATTATGACCCTGTACATGGTGGTGGCTCTAAAGTTGAAGAATCCATCAATGAAGCTCCTAGTTCTGCATTTCAGTTATCATTTACTTGTGGTCAGACATTTGAGGTGGTGGGGAGTGATATCATAAACTGGTGGCTTTATGTCAAGGGGGTCAGTGGACAAGATGAGGGATATATACCTAGCGTTTGTTTCGCACCTCTCAGAAAAGATATTTCAGCTGAAGAGTAAGTGAAAAAGTTATAAAAAAGTGAAATATAATTTATAAAATACTGCTTTGTTATTTTTTTAAAGACAGACAAACAGACTGCCAGACAGACAGACAGGCAGATGGACACACAGAAAAAAGACAGAAAAAAGACAGACAGAAAACTTTATTTAACCACGGTTGAAAAATATGAGCTACATTATGAATATAATTTAGTTAAAATTTTAAACTCTTTTACAAGTTTTTCTTATTTGATCAGGGTTAGGCTATCATCATAACAAATTATGCACAAAATCAACAATACAAGCACAACATCAAAAATGAAAGCAATTCCAGGGACCTTTACAGAAACACATGAATATTAAGGGAAGCACGGGTGGTGTAGCAGTGTGAGCGCTCGCCTTTCATCGATGCGACCCGAGTTCGAGTAATGCCGGGTTCGGTGTTGTATATGAGTAGAGTTGTTTGTTGGTTCTCTCCTGTGCTTTGAGGGTTTTCCGGGTTCTCCGGTTTTCCTCCCTCCACAAAAATCAACTCCTAAATTCCAATTCGATCACAGAATGAGGGTCACAGGTTTGTTAGCCACTGGCTATTAAGTGCTACCCTTGTGAAAAAAGGACGGTTTATACACAGTATATAGGCAAACCACAGGGCTCCCATCCCAAGAAAACTGCTTATTTTTACAGCTATGATTTTAGCTTTTGGTAACATGTGAACCAATGCTCTGATTGGATAATTCCAGAATTCAAGAGCTAGTAGAAGGAGGGACGCTTCTTATGTCACACATTAATACAGATGTTGATCTGCGCTTTTTTCCTGATGCTCCGAATCCCAAACTCATGGGAACGGTGAGTGACCTAATACATTTTTCTTAAAACTTAGTATGAAAGAATTGGTGTTTGAAGATTGAAAATAAATAATATGTGAATTTCTAATTAAAAGTACGTTGAGGTTGATCAGTTCTCTAGATGTTTTCCTAGGTATAAATTTTACAGAGAGTGTTTATTATTTTGTAGGAACGTTGCCCTGAAGAGACAGCTAATATATTATCGAAAATAACTTTTTGGTGGCTTAACAGGTAGGTGCTCATTATGTTACCATGTTCATCATTGCCAGCACTACCATATTCATTGATATTCATCAACATTATCGCCACTTCCACCACTACACCATCATTACAACCATATTCATCAACAGGACCATCATCACTACTACCACCACCGATATCATCACCATCATAATCACCACCATCATCACTACCAGCACCACCTTCACAACCATCGTCATCAGTACCACCACCACCACCTCACCCCACCATCATCATCTTTGTAATTCACCTTTTTGGCACTAGCTGTCACGGGGTATAGATTGTGTTACGGTCACCAAAAAGTTTGGACATTGCTCTAGAATTTCCATACAAATATACTGACTCTAAATGAACTATTTACTTGGTTATTGTTTAGTTAGTTCTCTAAATACAAGTAAATAATCATTTTTCTAGCTTGATTGAAGCTTTTCTTACTGCTGTTAAGAGAGCTAACTAAAAAAATCTACCTATATTTTCTCTTTAAAGTCAGTGAATTTGTATGGGAATCCAAGAACAATGTCCGAACTTTTTGGTGACCATAACACAATCCAAGCTAGTGCCGAAAAGGTGAATTGTTTTTGAAAATCATAATTTCAGCCTGATCATGAAAGGGTATAGAAAACCCCTAGAAACACAAGACTTATGGCTGCTAAGTGAACACAATAAATCATCCAAAATTGTTCCAAAGCTTCAACAGGAATGGAAAAAAGAGCAATCAAAAAGTAAAAAGTGAGTATAGCATTGTATTGTATAATTAAATTTATCCCACACCTTAGAAAACAACTAGTATTTTTACAGAAAATTTAGGTTGAGTGTTTAATGGTGCTGTTTGTCATGATGATTTGTTGTTCAACAGCTTAATTTTGTACATTGTCATGCAGAATGCCAGATGTCTCAAGGTGGTTTGTAACATGTTCAGCTGATAAGATAACGCTTCACTCAAAGCCTGAGCATTGTGATTTTGATATAATTCTCTGAAGAATGAAATTATTATTAATTGTCAATTTGCTGTATAGATCTGTCTCAGGTGTAAAATGGCTGTAAAAAATTGTTTTTCCTTTCCATTTTTAGATCAAAGAAATACAAAGTCCAAACAGACACAGAAACAGCACATCTTAACATGGAAACAGAAGAAGTAGCTGTTACCTTTCCTAGCAGTTCTGAGAAAAACCGTTACCGCCCTTCACTAGTGAAAGCATTAGTAAGGGTATTTCTTCCCTTCTTTTCAATTAGTATCTTACTTAAATTGGTCAGCGATATGCTTATTTTTGTGCAACCACAACTGCTAAAGTGAGTAGGAGATACTTTAAACAACATAGCAAATGATCTTTTGAAAGAAGTTGAATGAAATTCTGAATAAATGCAATTAAAAGTTGAGATTTGATGATGCATGGATAGTGAGTGAAAAGACATGTACAAGAAGATGAATCAAATATGATATTTTAGTGTTTTTTTTGCATCTTCATTGTCTAGTTTTTATCATTTTCCATGTGTTGAGTACTGGTATCAATAGTCCCCTTCACAGTTCCCTGCGCCATCTTGAAAGGTAGCCGTACCTTTGCATCGAAGTAAGATGAACAGTGAGCTTGCAATGATATAGAGACATGTGAATAATTGTCCAAGGTGTTAAAAAAGGTCTCTATCATTGCAAGCTCACCATTCGTCTTGCTTTGATGCAAAGGCATGGCTACCTTTCAAAAAGGTTCTGGGAACTGTGAAAGGGACTATTCTGAAAATGCATTTAATCAGAATTTCATTCATTCATTCATTCTTTSATTCTAAAATTGTCAGTGGGTGGGGTTTCTGGTCATTGATATGACATTGATGTGCTATGGACCTTTATCAAACAGCTCCTGACCATGCTTATCCCTAGGAGAGTAAAAGCCTTTTTAAACCAGTGTAAGCTTTCCTGAAGTGTTTGAGTGTGCAAATGCTATGGAGGGAAAAACATTTTGTTGTCTAGCTCAACTGCGGGAATAGCCAGGGGCAGATCTAGGGGTGGTAAAATAGGTGACTACTCACCCCCATTTTGCTCAAATTTCTCAGTATAGAATTAGTAACAGTCACCCCCTTTTTCTCAAATCCTTTGTAAAACCTTCATAATTGTCCCCCCCCCCCCCCTCTCTAAATTTCCTGGATCCACCCCTGATAGCCCACTGTGCGAGCTCGCATGCAATTTGAGACTCTCCCAAATCTAATTGTAAAATGTGTTGATACTCAGATTTCTATTTTTTGTTCTTCTCAGGGTTCTAATAGAACATGCAGAAGATAAATCCAGTCCAGACTGGAAGGGTTATGTTTACGTTCTGGCTATGGTCTTGGTTGCTATCATCCAGTACACCTTCTCACAGCATTCAATTCATGTGATGTTTGTGGCAGGTATGCGAGTGGGAATAGCAATCTTGGGGATAGTCTATTCCAAGGTAAAATATCATGCTTCAAGTTCTTGATGTTCTTCTTGTAGGATGCATGACCAAGAAAATATTCAATCTTCAGACCTGCTGGTCATTAATTTTGTTCTCAAGGGCTTTCCTCTGAGTTCTTGGTTCTTTCAGTTTGGTTTCCTTCCTTCCTCCCTCCCTCCCTCCCTCCTTCCTTCCTTCCTTCCTTCCTTCCTTCCTTCNTCCTTCCTTCCTTCCTTCCTTCCTTCCTTCCTTCCTTCCTTCCTTCATTGAGTCAGTCAGCCAGTCATTTTATCATTCATTTATTCATTTACTCTTAGCCAAATATTTGCAACAGTTAGAAGATTAATTATGGGAGTCCTTGCAGCTACTGTAATTTTGATTATTTTCCTTCAAGGCTCTACAACTCTGTAATAGTTCACGGAACTGTTCCACAGCTGGTGAAATCCTCAACCTCATGTCAGTTGACTCTCAGAGGCTAGTTCAGCTTGTATATTCACTAAACCAAGTGTGGTCGACACCTTTACAAGTGTGTATAGCTATATACTTCCTATACATCACCATGGGTGCCTCTACCTTAGCAGGCGTGGCTGTGCTATTATTGCTTATTCCAATAAATATTCTTGTTACTCGGTTTCAACGTCGATTACAGGTATACAAAGATGTGATTTTAAAAATGTAAATATTACCATCATTTTGGTAATTGATATCAAAACTGTTGTTATCATCATCATTTGTCATCATCTTCACTGTCTTCAAACATCAACATCATCATCACTGTAATCATCATTACCATTATGATAGCATACCACTATTGTCGTCATAACCATCAACATCATCACCAGCATCAATACCATCAACATTCCATATTCCATTTTCCACAGGTTAAACAGCTGCAGTACAAAGATGCTCGTGTGAAACTCATTAGTGAAGCTCTCAGTGGAGTTAAGGTAAGTTTGAGCTTTCATTTAAGCAGGCTAATTACAGTAAAAGATAATACTGCTTAACATTCACCCCAAAAACATCTGTCCAGTTGATCTATCTTGTTTGCCATCCCATCCTCACACATCGTCCCTAATTTTGCATTGGCCCATATCTTGACTTTTTCTAAATCAAATAGTCATGACGCAGGTGCTTCATTGGATTGTGGCATGGTTCCCGTGGTAAATACCTTTCTTCAGGATCTTTAGGCATCGCCCCCCCCCCATTCCTTCTCCAAGTTCATAAACTTACAAACAGCTCTTCAGACATCTTTTTTAATCCTTAACTTCTAGGTTCTCAAACTTTACGCATGGGAAGAATCTTTCATTGAGAAGATTTTGGAAGTTCGCCGACAAGAAATACAATACCAAAAACACAGCATGTATCTTACATGTACGCTTTTCTTTTTCAACTCCTCTGCCCCGATGCTGGTGAGTAATAATGTTGGTCTGATAATAACCTTAAGAAATAATAAGAATTTTACGTCCTAATACGTGCAAACTTTATTTCCTACTGATCAAATGCGCTGACTAGAAGTGTAACAAAGATGTTGTAGTTCCGAGTCTATTGTTAATATGATGATCACTCAAGGATGCAAGATTACTACTCTACTGTTTGATGAAACTTTTAAGTTGCAAAAAAGGCTTCAAAATTTTCTAGATACCTTGGCTGAAGTACCCTCTGGGTTGATCTAAGTCAGTGCACGACCAACTCACAGATCAAACCCTGAAACAACCTCTGGGCTGATGTAAGTCAGGACACGGCCAATTCACAGATCAAACCCTGAAACAACCTCTGGGCTGATCTAAGTCATGGCACGGCCAACTCACAGATCAAACCCTGAAATAACCTCTGGGCTGATGTAAGTCAGGGCACGGCCAACTCACAGATCAAACCCTGAAATAACCT